CTTTGTTTGCATCTGTTACCTTTGCACAGATTGTCGGATCTGAAATTGGTAAATATAGTTCAGTTCTTATGGTTGATGTGTTGATTGCACAATGATGGGTTTAAAGTCTGTACCATAAAAAAACACTTTCAACATGTGTTGTCTCAGTTGAGTTTAAATGGAAAATGAACTAAGGACGGTTCTTTCAATGGTGTCCCGAACTCTTGTCTCTGTCATTGGTTTTAAAAATTACTCAACCTTCTCGTGTGGATTTCTTAATTGTTTGTCTCTTAATTTTTTAATACATAAATTTTAACAATCCTGTACTTGTAAGTGAACTTAGCTCACTTATTTCACTGATTTCCCTAAAATAGGAAAAACATATCTGTGGTTTGGTTGTTTTGTTTTGATTAAGAATGGATTTGATCTGTTACGTTAATAAGTGTTATCAGGTGTAATTATGTTTATTGTTTTTATATCTGAGATGCTATATACACTGGAGTACAGGCAGATAATCAATCTGGCTACTTGGTGAACTATAAAACTATTTTGGCATGTCCAAATAAAAGGTGTAAATAATGCCACTGAAAATTAATTTGTAGAATTGTTGCAGGAAATTACGCAGCCCCAAAAGGCTCAGGTAAGAAAAAAAAAAAGTGTAATCTGTTCCTACTATATCCATGGATTTGCAATCTATGGGCACGGTTTTGTTAACTGTGCGCATAGATTTGAAATCTGCAGCAATTTATGCCAACAGATTGCAAATGCATCTGCACAGTTTATGAAACGTTGCCTACAGTTTTGCTAAACTTGCTATTCAAATCTGTTCAAACATTTTACAAAACTGTGCCCACGGATTGCAAATCGGTCCATGTGCATGGATTTGTAAAATCACGGGAAAGGATTTGCAAACAGCTTTTTTATTTTCCTTACCAGAGTCTAACATAGTTTTTGTCCGTGGTATTGATTTAGTTCTTAACAACCTGGATCCTGGTTAAAATATTGTCCCCGGTTTTCAATTAAAAGTCTATTTCTTTAAACCTTTCCCTCTTAGCAATGGATACAAATACAACAAATTTACTTTGTCATAACTATTGAAGCAGGAACCTTAGCAGTACTGCAACATCAAGAAGATTATTAACACTCATCCCTGCCTCCACTTCCTTCTTATCATCACATCATGTTCGCATCAGCAGGACAGTTCAGGACGCTCTGTGAGCTGAAGTTGCAAATTCTTGTTCCCTGGGAGTTGCATTGCTTTGGTTGTTATTTGTACCGTACATTTTCTCCCGTCTTATCAGCAATAAGACACAAATACACAGGCTTTCATTTATTGTCATAACACTATTGGGACACATGTGAGTTACGCCTCTTTGCTTTTAAAGTAATGCAAGTTTACTACTACAGGCAGTAAACCAGATACATTTATGATTGCAGCTTAGATTAAAAGATGATATCATTGTTTGATGTTCTGCTCACAAAAACACCTTGACCTTTTTAGTTTTTAGAAATGCAAAATCTTACTCAACAACATCCCTACATGTTGAGGTAGGTTCTCAATAAAGACTACAGTTGAGCTTTATATACTTTCAGTTTACTTTAGTATATTTTGGGAACACACAACAGCATACAACAACTTGTGCTTGAGGTCACACACACACTTTACTCCTGCCCCAGTGTAACCGGAACTAATTTCTCTGGCCCCGCGCAGGGATACATTAGGAAGGATAAACATATAACACCACACTACACACATCTATTTATTTTATGGAGCAAACCAAATCCACAAAATCCAAGTGGGTCCAAAATGGAACTGGCCTGATATGTGGTACAATCTCATACCAGACATTTGTGTCCTAACTTTCTATGTAGGCTAAACATGGATCGGATAAAGGACCGTTGTTGGGCTCCAATAAGTGTAGCCCTTTTGGGAATATGGATGTGCATTTTGAGTGAAATGCAAAATTTGCTGGCAATGGGGGTGCTGGCAGCCAAGCGGTTAGTGTGCTCGATACAAAGGTTGCGGTCCCCAAGCAGACTGCCCGGGTTCTTGTCCGACCTGTGGCTTCATTCCGGCATATCATACCCCATTCCCTCTCTCCCCCCAATTTCTGACTCTATCCACTTTCATGTTTAACCTAACGAGCTAGACTGATATAGCAAGACAGAGTACCCGGTGGGAACCAATACATTCAAACTCAACACAGAAAGGTCCCCGTCCAGCCAGGGACTCAAACCAGGAACCTTCTTACAACATTGTGCAGCCTTCATTTGGGACCCATCTTGGAAACATTTTGAGCTAGCTAAATGGATCATGTGTATTCTTGTGGTTCACCAAATACGCCCAAAAACCAACCCACTCTAAAGCCAACATAAATTGAGCCAAGCTTACTAGAAGCCCAACTGGTAATTGCCAAGTGGGGCCCATTTGGACGTGTTGCCTGGATTCACAAACATACTGGCCTAAATAAATGTGCTGCTTGTTGTTGTTGTTTTTTAAGATTTATTTTTGGGCTTTTTATGTCTTTATCACAGAGACAGGACAGTGGACAGAGAGAAATCAGGGAGAGAGAGGGTGGGGAATGAAATGCAGGAAAGGAGCCACAGGTCAGAGTCGAACCCGAGCTGTCGGTTGAGGACTGTAGCCTCTGTACATGAGCCACACAAATTATAGGCCATCAGCATCCCTAAAAGAGCTGTTTTAACCTAGTCAATGGTCAATTCCAACTTGCATATAAAAGATCATTCACCAATCCTTTTTTTGGTTATGCTTAAATCCAAACAATTACAGGATAACATTTTTATACAATGTGTTATGAGGCAATTGGTGGAAACCAGTTAGTAACCATGATAGTAAACATGTGCACCTGCCCACACAGCACTTGAACACGTTGTTTCATTTGTCAATCTCTCTTTTATTAATGGAAATAAATTCATGCCAAGTATAAATTGGCTGACCTTGGTTTAATCAACATTAAATAACTGTTCCATTATCATTATTGTTCCATATCTTGATGCTGTGTCACTTTTAGATAACAAGGGCTGGCAGAAACAACCTGACCCCAGCGGTACTGTCCCATCAACGGTTTAATGAGATCAACATTTTCCACCAAGAAGTCACAATCCAATCGGGTAGGACAACCCACTCACATAAAGAACACACCAGCAGTAAAAACAATAATAGTAAAAACACATGATAAAACATGTGAGTTCATGATTACAGAACGTAAAGTCCTGATGAACATTTGTACTAAATACTTTTTTACTCAAGTAGTAGTACAGATACTTGTGTTAAAAAAGACCCTGGCAAAAGAAGAAGTGGAGTAAAAGTGAAAAAAGTACTGACTGAAATGTTTTAAAGAGGACATATTATCCCCCTTTCCCCCCCTTTTTAAACAGTCCCCTGTGTCTAAATGAAACATCTGTGCTGTGCTTTGGTCAAAATATAACATAAATCAAGCACCAGAGGAGGTTTGTGACCCTGTATAAACCAGCTCTCTCAGAACGCTCCGTTTTGGTGTGTGTGTCTCTTTAAATGCAATGAGCCCCCCCCCCCCAAGTTATCCATTATTAAAAATGTTGTCTCTATATGCGCTACAAATGATCGGTGATGAGGTTGTCTACTGTTATTTTTAATGGCTGCTGCTGCCAGAAATTAATGTTGGTGTCTTACAAAAGTGTTTGACAGTGAGTGTTACATTGACTTTTAAAAAAAACAGCATGTGATTTTTCCTCAGTAGACACTACCTATTGTTTATGTTTTATTTTTGTATTTAACCAGCACAGTCCTGGCTGAGACAGGCAGCAGCACAATGAGCAGAGAAAAGACAGACATGGCAGATTGAAACAGCAAATGTTTTGTCAAGATCATCCACAAACACATCAGGGAGCGGCAAATTTCAACGCCTTTTAACCCAGTTCAGTTCTGACTATACACGGACAGGACAAAAATCAGCAGACATTAACGGTGTTGCTATGTCCACAGGGTGCGGCAAATCTGAACCCAAAGATCCTCACAGCTGCTTTGAGTGTTTGGCTGCTCTGACACAGAGCGTCTCTCTCCTCCCAGCATTTCCTGTCTCTCATCAGCTGTGCTATCCTAGGAACTACACTGTGCCAGACCCCCCCGGCCTGTTCGATGGCCACGTCTGGCCCATGTATTTGAAACACAAGAACCAGGCTGTAAGCATGTTTATTTCTGCTGTCATAATGGACACTTGAATATTGGTGTTAATGGGACTTAATGGTTTTCTGGAGCCAGCCTCACGTGGACACTCTATGAACTTCAGGTTTTTTTTTGGCACTTCTCCATCGGCTTCATTTTTCCACACCATAGTTTTCTGCTTGTTAGACCCCTATCGTTGCTCTGCGTTTACTTTCTGCAGAGTGTGTCGGATTTTTCTCACACAAACACATTTCCCATGAACCTGACCTGACCCTGCAAACAGTATCAGGAGGTATCACTTCCACTTAATTCTGAGCAGACACTTTTGATAAGATTTCCCTGAAACCAGTTAGCAAACCAGTGAAACTTACACACACTCACTGCCACTCACACTCACACACACACTCACTCACACACACACACACACACACACACACACACACACACAGTCTTTCTTATCAGTGTTTGGTGCTGCTTTGAATCCAGACTGAGCTTCCTTCCCCTTACCTTTCTTTTTCCTCCCTTTTGTGTTGAAAAGTTCATGAAAATTGGCAAAGTTCTAACGATTTCTCGTAAATTTAACTTTCTTGACTTTATCAGAGTGTATTATCAGACCCTGGAAAAAACACATTTATGAATCAACTTTGTGCGTTTGCTCCTGTAGACTATTTTTACCGTGTGGTGCTGCAGCCGCCCTTCAGTAGCGTTCCCCATCCTGAAAGCTACTTGATTTCCACTTCATAACAATGACCTGCCCTGTCTGTCCTGTCCACATCCTCCCCTATCCTGCCCATCGGTAAGTTGTATTTCCAATGCTCTGCGTGGGCGGAAAAGCCTCCAGTGAATGTTGCAGGTTGCAGATATCATTAAGAACAATGGTCAAGGATAAGGCAGGCGTCCAGCGACGACTAAGTGAAACAGGGACTTTATCATAATTGCTGTTAATAATTACAGTGGTGATAAGCAGCAGAGGTTGGCATTTATTGATGGAAAAGTCATCTGGGGTCTCAGCTGATCTGCAGGAGCTGGAGGAGGAGAAACAGACCACTTTGGATTTGAGACAGATTAGGACACAATCAGGTATGTGGGACGAGCTGCTGAGGATAGAGAAGCTACAGGAAAAGAAAATGTGCTTTTGTTTCTCACCCTTTTGGATTTGAAATCTTTGAAGTTTGAATTTTCACAGATCCTTCACGGGCTCTTTAAAAGTAATTTCCTCTCATCATCAGCTACTAGATTGAATCAAATATTGAGAATAGGTTATTTAAAAGAATAAAAAATAGGATTCTAAGTTTGGATCAGGTTATCCATGTTGTTTTTTTATCTGAATAAACTTCCAGTGTGTGATGTTAAAAAACTTTTGTGTAGGATTGGGATAACTGACCCCAAAAAAATCTGGACATTCTTGATCCCAGCAGAGGGCTGGACTCGCTGAGTTTATACCGACGACATGTTTTATATTTCATATTTGAATTGTGGTATTGTCATACTAACACGGTACATAGGGTGAAATCTAAAAGACACACACATCCCTAAGATGGTGCTGGATCCAAAAATGAATAGGTACAAAGCAGCAAAAAAGATCGGCACACCGTGGAGCTCCCATTTAGAGGATTTATTGACAGGTGAGGTTTTGAGCCTACATGCTACTACTCAGATTAATCGGACTGAGCATTGCCTTGGTGTGAGGTGTGTTTCTTTACAGTACATGAGGTAAACATTAGACTTAGACTTAGAGACTTAGACTTTCTTTATTGTCATTCAAACTTGTACTTTACAGTGCAGATAAGAACAACATTTCGTTGCATTTGGCTCGTTATAGTGCAGGATAAAAACAGCAGCATGTATTTACATATAAAAAATAATAATTAGGTTTGTAAGAAATAGATGATTGCGTCCCCAATGAACTGTCAATTCCTTACATACAGTAATTCATTTAGAGCAGCTGGGAGGTACTTGGTGTGCAGTGGTTAGGAGTGAGGAGGTTCCTGGTTTGAATCCCTGTAGGACAGGAACCTCTCTGTGTGGAGTTTATATGTTCTCCTCGTGCATGTGTGGGTTCTCTCTGGCTTCCTCTCACAGTCCAAAGACATTCTTTTTATTATGTTATTTGGTGACTCTTAATTGTCAGTAGGTGTGAATGTGAGTGTGGCTGGCTGTCTGTCTCTGAATGTCAGCTCTGTGATTGGCTGGCTAACAGTCCAGGATGTAACCCCGCCTCTCGCCCATTGACAGCTGGGATCAGCTCCAGCCCCCCCGCGGCCCCGAATGGGAAAAAGTGGTATAGATAATGGATGGATGGATGGGAGGTACTTTCAGATTGAAAGTTGTTGGGCGGATGGATTTTGATCTGATTTGTTTAGAACGCAGCTAACGGATCAAATCTTGGTATCATGAAATCACACAAGACAGGCAAATAAATGTTCAAGCTAATTTAGACTCTGAGTAAGACGGAGCACGCCGATACGTTACTCCTTTGCTCCTTAATAAATGTGCCTTAAATGATTTTTGTGCTCCAGTACTTTCTTTGGATCCTGCCTGAGAGAAGGAGTCCACTGAGTTAAATTTTGAACGTCTAAGGTTTTTCTCTCAGAGCACCGACCTCCATTTGTGAAAATTGGTTCTTAATAAATAAAGTCTGATTGATTGAGTGAATAGAATATGAAATGGGACATGAGCCCCACGATAACGTTATATATCTACATCAAATAACTGATCGAGTGAACAATAATAAATTCCCCTTTAAAAGTTAAAGTGCAGGAATATTGAATAGTTAAGCCTTTATTGTTCAGATGTAGATTCAACTTTTTCAACAAGTGGGCTGGACTAGCCTCGTGGAGGTGTTGAATAAGGACGGTTTCTCTTGGGAAGGTCAAGAAGGTGGAATAAAGCCTCTCTGGTGTGAATCTGTGTGCAGAGCTCAGATAGACTCTGACACACCACAGCAGCTCCTGACCTGGTGCGTGTCCTCTGCCCCGTGTTCCAGGGTCTGGATCTTTGTTGTTTGCTTTTTAATGTCCTTTGATAAGTCGTGTTTAGTTAGTTAAGTTGGAGGATCCTCCTCCTCCTGATTTAATGTGATTACCTGATTCCAGAGCCACATAGAGAGAGGCGGCCCTCACCAGAGCACAGGAGAAATGATGAGAGCGGGAGCCAGGCAGTACGTGGTCGCCCGGCCGCTCTACTCCGAGGAGTCCTTCTCCGAGGAGCACGAGAAGATCTACAGGCACCACAAGAGCTCGCTGGACCACATCAAGCAGTACTTCACGTGAGGAACCTTTGTTTTTAATAACCTGGTGGCTGCACAGTTAACCTTTGAAGTCCATCCTTTTTGATAAAGTTGAATATGTTAGAAGTTGAGTGTCCTGCTCAAATGTTTAAATGTCTGAAAGTGTAATAAAAACAGAATCATTTAAACTTTAAGGACAACATGCTTAAAATATACAGTACTGTACGGACGTGAAAGGTCGATCACAAAAAGCAAAAGATCAACACCAATCACAGTTATCTGCAGATATGAACGGGCCGAGTAGCAGAAAAGAGCACGGCCTGTAGTACAGCTTTAAATAAAAGGTACAGAGTAATTTGAGATGTTTCTCAATATCATGTTGTGGGTATAGAAACGCAAATCATGGCTCAAAGGTAGCAGTTTCATTCTCTTCTCTTAAGGTTTTACCAACAGCTGTACATCAATCTGCTTCACTGTCTCAACTATTCAATCATGCACTGACAGGATCTGCTTTCATCATTAAAGACACCATTAGGTTAAAATATCAGATTTGCTGTCGGTGTTGGAAAGCTCAAAAGTTTCACAATTACTCCTCCGTTTCAGTTTTAGAGTTTACAAAAGCAAACGGAAAAAAATGCAAAAGAAGAATTCAAATAGAAACAACAGGTCTGAAAATGCTGTTAAAGTGAAGACAATACAATAGAAGAAGTGACTTAAAGAAGATAAGCAGTAAAAAATGATGATCAGATTGATGATTATAAGAAGATTTCCGATTTAAAAAAATGATGAGAGCACCAAAGAAAATAAAAAAACAAAATAAAAGCAATTAAGGGAGGTTTAGAGCAGGACATCAGAAGAAGGATAAGTGATAGATAAAAAAAAGATTAAGAGCAATAAAATAAATAAAGGAAAAATTAAGAATCAGTGAAAGAGTACATCACATAAAAGTAAGTTTTGAGACGTGATTTAAAAGAAGAAACTGATCCTGCACGCCTTATCTCCTCAGGGAGGTCGTTCCAAAGTCGAGGAGCCCCGCGAGAAAGAAAGTCAGCGAGTGTTTTGATCCACTGACAGTGTGATGCACTCTGTTTTAAAGTTACTCTCACTGACTTTGACTTATCCCTGTTAACATCTTGACCACATTTAAAAAAACATGAACATGTCTTCTTCCTCCATCCTCTTTCTGATCACTTCAATCACTTCACTTTTTTATATGTATTTTTGTTTCTGCCGTTGTGTGGCTGCAGATGTGATGCCAAACGAGCAAAGGATGTAGCGCTCTCTCTCCTGCCCGTCATCGGATGGCTGAAAATCTACAGACTCAAAGATTGGCTGCTCAGTGACATCGTGTCCGGCGTCAGCACTGGACTGGTCGCTGTGCTGCAAGGTACTATTCTTTGAACTTAACAGTATCTGATGGTGATAGGATCTTATACCGTCTATGGACAAAATGGTTAAATAGAGGCAGGATGTGCTTTATTTCCTCATTCAATGGGATGATGAAGTGATCCCTCTACTGTACCGTCTTCAGAGGAAGAGTTACGGCACTCTTTTGTGGGGGTGAAAAAGCAGTATGAAAAGGGCTTTAGTGTTAAAATACATAAAAAATTGAATTTTAAAGGTCAAACTTCTTTAATGTTTTTAATTAATTTGAGAGTGCTTAAAGGCATGAGATCAAAAATTAATAGAGAAAGAGTTTTCTGGTTTTAATCTGCATTTGAACCGACTTTAATCTTCACATTTTACATCTTACTAAATTTTAAAAATTATCATTCTGTTGTGCTATTTGGAGATGAGTTTGATTCCGAGGAACTCTGTGTTGGTCATGAATTACATAAAAACAAAAATTAAGGCGGCGTTCTCATCACTCATCCTAAATAAGTGACTCCCCTCTGATTTGCTCAGAGGAGAGGAATTTGTGGGGGGGGGGTATCGCAGTAATCTCAGTGTGGGTATCGATTTGAAAGAGAAAACAACTTTCCCAGAGAGGAGATGAATCTTTCACAGAGACAAGTGAACAGGTCTAAAGTACCTGATAATATATGATAAGCTCTGTGTATATGAGCTGTGTAGGATTATAATGCATGGCTGATCATTTATCAGGTGCAGCAGGTGAGAGAAGATTAACAAATCACCTGTTATTTGCCAGAGAGGTGATGAGTGTGTATGTTTTCTTGTCATCTCAGGTTTGGCTTACTGCCTGCTGGCCTCTCTGCCCCCCTGGTACGGACTCTTCTCCGCCTTCTTCCCTGTCCTTATTTACTTTTTCCTGGGAACCTCCAGACACATCTCAGTGGGTAAGGCCTGTTTCTCTCACTTATAACTGCTCGGGAAAGACGAGGACTCAGTCAACCACTCGTCCTTTTTTTTTTCTCTCTCTCAGGTCCGTTCCCGGTCTTGTGTCTCATGATCGGCTCGGTGGTCACCCGGTTGGTCCCGGACGAGGGGTCGCCCGCCAACATCACCGGGTTTGAGGGTCTGACCAGAGACGAGCAGAGAGTGCTGGTGGCTTCCTCTGTCACCTTCCTCGCCGGTATCATGCAGGTAAAAGAAACATGTGTAGCAAATGCATTCATTTCTTTTGGGTTTTTTTGCAACCTCAATGAACCTCATATGCAAATAGCTTTTTTTGCAAGGAGAATAGTCAGATAGTAAGATTTTTTCTTACATTTCCTACATTGCACCTTTTGTACTTTTTGTGTTTTTCATTGTTTATTTTTATTTTTTATATTTTACATTTTTAAATTCTATTTTATATATTGTAATATCTTCTTATACTGTATTATTTAAGATGTTGCTAGTTCTGCTTTATTTCCTTGTTAATTGTTTAGCACCAATACACCAAGTCAAATTCCTTGTATGTGTAAATTTACTTGGCAATAAACCCTGATTCTGATTCTGATTCTGATTCTGATTCTGATTCTGATTCTGATTCTGATTCTGATTCTGAAGATCAGAAGTTCAGATTTCATCAAAATATCCTTCCTAGGGGTGCTGGTAGCCTAGCGTTTAGTGCCCATAAAGTGAATAAGAGAGAATAAAAGGTTTTGTTTTTAACAGCTTTTACAGCCTGCAGAGTTCATAAAACACTATCTGACGTCTATCTGTTGAAGTGTTGAACTGATACTGATGTTATCTAAGGTAAAGGTATACAATTGTATGGTTTTTGACGCCCTCGTTATCTTTAACACCATGAATGAGTTTGATCTGACAGATAGTGAGAGACACATGAACTCAGAACACACACATCATGAGCAGCTCGTTTAAACATTCTCGTTTATCGCAGCTTACGAGTAAAAGTGTGAGAGAATCAGGAAGCTTAGAAACGCTGTCATTCAATGTCGTGGGTAAGAGAAGTGGTTCAGATAGAAGTGATTGTACCCGACCTAAAAAGCCTCTGCATGTTTCTAATAAGCTCCACGAGCAGAAACCAGCTCAAACTAAGATCAATATTGGAGATACTTTTGAAAAATGGAGAGAGGTTAGAACACAGAAAGGTTTACAGACCCATGCAGAGCTGGATAAACACTGAAGCTTCAGTGTCCACCACATGGCAACTCACGTTAGCATCGACTCTAGAGAGGAGGGGGCGGGGGGAGACAGCTCTCTCTAGTATTTTGGACTGCAGTACCCATTTTAAACACTATGTGTCAGAGTTACATATTGCTCCTTTAAGCTACATCAGGGGTGGGCAACTGGCGGTCCGGGGGCCACATATGGCCCCCATCAACCCTCAACGTGGCCCTCAGGTCAATTTTTCCATACCAATTAAATGGAAACATGAAGAAAAACATGACGAAATCTGCCATGAAATCATGAAAACCAGGAATGTATGCATAATAATATTTGATCACTGGTATATGTTGAGTTGAATTTGAGACATAATTGATTGTAATCGTTTTTATATTCTACAATTTGGCCCCCTGGCAGTGAGAATTAAATGAATGTGGCCCTTGCTGTGACCAAATTTGCCCATCCCTGAGCTACATGATCCTCTCTCTCTGTCTCCTCCAGCTGGTGATGGGCGCCCTACAGGTGGGCTTTGTTGTCATGTACCTGTCCGACACTCTGGTCTCTGGCTTCACCACAGCAGCTGCCGTCCACATCCTGGTGTCTCAGCTCAAGTTTGTGTTGGGTCTGCATGTCCCTGGGATCAGTGGACCTCTTTCCCTAATTTATGTGAGTCGGGAACAGTTTGAAGCTCTCTCCATCTTCATCACATTCAGGTGTGTCGCATCAAATCATCTTTTTAATCCTGACTTTTTTTTTCAGACTCTCGAGATCATCTTTAAAAATATTTCCTCCACAAACGCATGTGACGTGGTGATCGCTTTGGTCATCATGGTGGCGGTGTTCATCGTGAAGGAGCTGAACGACAGATACAAATCCAAACTTCCCGTTCCCATCCCGATAGAAGTCATCATGGTGAGAAACACTGCAGGACGCCCTCCTCATACCTGTGCTCTGAGAGGGTTTGTGGTCATATAAACAGTAATAATAATGATGCTTACTTCATCGTGACTGTGCAGGACCCCAGTGTTGTGTCTATAACAATCATTAATCTGATTTATGAAGTCATTAAGGACAATTTTAAAGAGCTGATTCATGTCGGCTAAGGGGCAAGAGCTCACAATCTGCACTCTTAAAGATAATAAATATGAGTAATTTTGAAACTAATAATGAGTCAGACCGAACCACGTCTCTTATTTCCCCTCTAGACAGTCATTGCATGTGGAGTCTCCTACGCATTCGACTTCAGGAAACGATTCGGTATCGATGTTGTTGGACATATTCCAAAAGGGTAAGACATCCTGACAGAAATACAATGACTACAGGCAAACTCACAACTCACTCATTCTGGGGAGGAATGGTTGATGTTAACTATGACTTGAATAATTGGTTCTGTAAGCTTGCAAAGCTAACACACTTTTTTAATATTTTAAATGCTGCATACTTGAGTACAAGAGTGCTTCTTGTGGCCAAAAATGAGAATAACAACAAACACTAAAACATAACTGAACATAACTGACATAGTTTTTTTTTTTTTAATTAGCTTGGCAGTTTTTAAAGTTTTCAATTTACAAGTAAAGATAATTGAATATAATGTAAAAAAAATATATAAACTATGAAAAATAATCCTTCCAAAACTTTTTCAACTGCGTCAGCAATTTTTCCCATTTGCCCCTTGGAAGCTTCCGTACAATAATCCCATTTTAAGGCAAAGCCTCCACAAGAGCTACCTGGGCTACGAGAACAATCCCCTTTACAGAACCATGATTTGATCAAATTAAATAAAAAGGGGGTGCCGTATAGACTAGTGGTTATGTCGGGCCCCCCATGAAAAGAAGATATAGTCTTCGTCACAGCGTCAGCGGGTTCAATTCCGACCTCGGCCCCCTTGCTGCATGTCATCCTTCGCGCTCTCTCCTCCCAACACTTCCTGTCTCTCTTCAGCTGTCCTCTCCAATAAAGGTTTTACTCAAAGTGTTGTTTGTAATGGAGGTACAGGTGTATGATTCCTGAAACACACTGGTAATTGCTCTGTTATGTTTATGTTCAGCTTTTTAATCACATCGTCCAAAAATACCACAAACAACAATTCAGTCGCCTCCTTTTACGACGTAATCAGTTTGTAGTTAGAAATGTGAGTCAGACAAGCCGCACTTTAAAACGCTGATAGAAAGAAGTACGACATTGAATGACAGCGTTTCTGGGCTTCCTGATTCTCTCACACTTTTCACTCGTAAGCTGCGATAAACAAGAGCATTTAAACGAGCTGTTTTAATTTTATCTCCGGTCTGAAACTCATGATGTGTGTGTTCTGAGTTCATGTGTCTCTCACTATCTGTCAGATCAGATTCATTCATGGAGTTAAAGATAATGAGGGTGTCAAAAACCATACAATCGTATACCTTTACCTTAGATAACATCAGTATCACTTCCTCAACAGATAGACAGTCAGATAGTGTTTTATGAACTCTGCAGGCTGTAAAAGCTGTTATAAACAAAACCTTTCTGTCTGTTTCTGTTTCTGTTTTTTAGAAGAAAAATCAGCGAGTTTGTTTTTGCAATTCATTTTATGACCCATAACATTTATAATATAACACGGGATATTTGGGCTACAGTAGGAAAATGAATTTGTTAATTTGTAATATTAATAGAAGTAAAAAAAAAGCAGTCTTAGCAGTTTGACAAATAAATCCTTAAATCACAAGAATAAAGTTGCAATATTTTGACTGAAACTTGTTTTGACTGATGTCAGAATAGCATCACGCCGCCTACACCAAAATGAGAAATGTGAGGCCTATTCCTTTCATACACAAACAGAGTTTTTGGTCGCTGAAAACTCACATTCCAGGTGAATATCAACATAAAACGATATGAGAGGAGGATGAACGTCATATAACTTGTTGTCATTTATATTCCCGTCCTGTATTCTACAGGATGGAAGTGTTTGTGTTGGTATTTTTACAAGCTGATCTATGCGATACTTTACTAGTTCACCTGGATGTTTTGTTCATTTGTAACAATTTTTTTGTTTTTCATCCTCTGATTTCTGACAATTTGAGGAACATCCTGACATAACAGTGTTCATAATGTTTCTCAGGTACGAGCCTCCGATCGCCCCAAACCTGCACGTCTTCCAGGAAACCGCAGTGGAGGCTTTCCCCATGGCTATAGTGGGCTTTGCCGTCGCCTTTTCTGTAGCTAAAGTCTACTCAGTGAAACATGATTACACCATCGATGGAAACCAGGTGAGGGAAAAATACAATACCTATTTTTTAACATTCAAACTATATACTCATGTGTGGGATAACTACAACAGTTTCTGTTTTAGGAGCTGATCGCGTTCGGAGTCAGTAACATCTTTGGAGCTTCGTTCAAGTCATTTGCTGCGAGTACAGCTCTGTCCAGGAGTGCCGTGCAGGAGAGCACAGGCGGGAAGACTCAGGTAAACTTCTGGACTCCTTTATTAATTCATGAAAGAGCATGTTTGAGTCAAACCTAATGCTAACCCAAAACCCCTTTAAATAATCTTCGGGGTGAACAATGGGAGGAATTATTCAAAGAGGGACATAAATGAACAAACAGTCCAATGTGGGAGTTTGACTGGAAAGTCAAAATGCGATACTTTAACACCCCATCCATCACCTCAAAATACAGCAGTACTTCTGAGTTGTGCTGGAGGGCATGTGGACTAGTGAGGGGTTTTACTCATATTTTTGGGACTGCCCAAAAGTGGTAGAATTTTGGAAAATTTACAAAAAGAAATAAGTCAGATTCTGGGCATCAATCTAATCTTGGATCCTTCACTCTTTATTTTAGGTATAGCTCCTGATACCAACATGGACAGAGACTTGATTTCCTTGCTTAGAATTTTGCTATTAATAGTAAAGAAAACAATAACAGCATCCTGGCTGAAACCACAGCCTCCCAACATAACTCAGTGGAGACAGAGATTCAAAAATGTTTTCATCATGGAAAAAATCACAGCCAGATTACATCTGAAAACAAATAGATTTGATGTAAAATGGGCCCCAGTGATGCAGGTCACACCAGCCAACTACTGGTCTGGCATGTATACCGCAGCGTGTCTGCTGGTTTTTGCAGATCTGTGTGCTCTGAAGTTGTTGTCAAACCTTTGCAATCTCAACACGCAGGTCCAGATTATTATTATTATTCTTAACCAGGCTGTAAACGTTTTTTCTTTAAATTTGGGACTTGTTGGTTATGCAGACAGCCTCAAGTGGATACTCAAGGAATTGCATTTTTTTTTGGCGTTTACGCATTAGCTTCATTTCTCAACAAAGGATGTTGCCGCTGCTTGATTTTAACATACCTCTTCTGTCTATTACAGATAGCTGGATTACTGTCAGCCCTCATAGTGATGATCGTCACACAAGAAATTGGATTCTTACTGGATCCACTACCGAAGGTAAACACCAAATCTCCTGCAAGTAAATGGACTTGTCCCTTATATAGTGCTTTTCTAGTCTCCTGACTACTCAAAGTTTTACACTGCAATTGTGGGAGCAATTCAGGGTTAAGTGTCTTGCCCAAGGACACAGTGGACATGATGCTCAGCTGGGGATTGAGCCCTCAACCTTCTGGTTGAGAGGTGACGACTCTACCAACTGAGCCACAGCCGCCCTCCTCCAAGTGAATGTGATGTTTTTTAAAGTCGTGTCTAGACTTTCTAAAATCTAACCTTTTGATTGAAACAGTCTGTGCTGGGCGCTGTGGTCATCGTCAACCTGAAAGGGATGCTGATGCAGTTTAGAGAAGTCCCGTACCTGTGGAGGAGAGACAAACCAGACTGTGTAAGTTCTAACACATTCCTTGTAGTTTCAAAGAAAGAGTTAAACATTTAAAATCTCCTTCAAAGCTTCTCTTTGATTCCATCATCCATGTCCAGGTGGTATGGTTAGGTACCTGTCTTGCAGCCACCTTGCTGGGGCTGGATCTTGGTTTGGCTGCAGGGCTCGGTGTGGAGCTGATCAGCGTCGTCCTCAGGGCTCAGTTGTGAGTATCTGTGCATAAACTCTTTACTCTCATAGATTTTCAACCCAAACACATACACTCAAGAGCTGGTTGATATCCTGACTCTTATTGTCGACTTCAGGTTAATGTTTTGGGTTCAAGTAAAACGTCTTCAACAAATGTTGGATATCTTTGCCGTTTCATTTTAACGAAGAAACAGAAATAAAGTTTAAATACAACGTCTTTTCACACACTGTGAAGGATTTGAAGTCTAAATTCAAGAAAACTTTATTGGCCACATTTTTGAAGGGAAATGTTTCAAGACATATTGTTGCATACTGTAAAGGTTACAACTTGTAGTTTGGGGGTTTGTATCAATTTTCTTCTGCAGTTGTTTCTTGTATTTCTGTGTTTTTGACTTTAAATCCTTTTAAGGTCACATATCCTCTTCCTCTTTAGCCAGTTTAAATAAGTCTCAGAGCTCCTCAAAACATGTGTGTGAAGTTTCTTGTTCTAAATCCACTCTGATCCTGTATTTGATCATGCCTATAAACCCCTCTATTTCAGCACTGCTCAGAACAGACTGTTTCTGTGTCTGTACCTTTAAATATGTAAATGAGCGGTGTCTGACCACGCCCCCTCTCTGGAAGGGCTTGGGTGGCTCGAATTTCTCACTTCATGTCCTATTGTTTACGGTGAGAAGGCAGACTCAGAGGGCAGAACAAACACCTAGCTGTGGGAGTGTCACCCACCTGGGGGAGGGGCTACTGCCCTTTGTGATGTCATGAAGGGAAAATCTCCAAACGGCCTGTTTGAGCACACATTTTCTGAAAAGTGGAGCAGGTAAAAGACATAGAGGATGGATTTTTCTCATCATTGGGGGGTTTGTGGACAGACTAGAGACACATGTTAGTGTTAGGAAAACATGATAAAGTGTATTTTACATAACATGTGACCTTTAAGAATGTTCAATGGATTTGCTGTTCATGTTTCGTTGTTTTGCATCCCATTTTTTCTTGTGCAGCACATTTCCCTTTTTGCATTTGTTTTAGACTTTTGCACATTTGCATTCAATCTTCTAATCTTCTAAGTTTGGGGCGTTATGGGTCGTCTGCTATTTGTGGTTACTAAATGTTAGCACGTTTGAACACTAAACTCAGAGGCAAAAAGCAGGAAGTCAAATAACAGTACCTGCTCAACATGCCTTTTTAAGAGCAGGTGGTGTTGCTGTGATATTCTAATTACTCAGCAACAGATTTTGGAAATGGTTGGAAATATTTTTTAATTATTATTTTTTTCTTTTTTCTAGCCCTCGCTGCAGTGTGCTGGCCAACATCCAGGGAACAGATATCTACAAGGACAGGAAAGACTACATTAATGTGAGTAGATTTGTGTTATGTCAGGGATCTGAAAGTGAATGATGTCTCATTAACTGACCTTGAATGTTTGAATGAACTCTGGGAGTGTTGGATTTGTTTACCTTTCAGCTTCTGTTTTTAGTTTAATTTTTTTTAGCAACCTTTCCCAGAGAAAGACCCTGTCTCTTTTTTACGGGAACATCCCTGCTCCTTCCTTCTTACTCGTGTCGAGTTTGTGCACGATTTTTCAGATATTCTCTATTTTCTAACTCTCTGCAGATATATGAGCCTGAGGGAGTGAAAATCTTCAGGATCCCATCGCCAATCTTCTTTGCAAACATCGAGTTCTTCAAGAGCAAGCTGGTGGAAGCTGTAAGAAAAAATACAATTTGCTTTTTAGTAATTAAAGTCACATCTTCATTAAAACAGCAAACAGCAAATTTGACCATATTTTGCCTCTAAAAAGTGAAACCTAGTTTCACTAGTTTCATGATTTTATTGATTGGTGCTCTATTCTTGTTTTGATCTTGTTTATATTTGCCTTGTTTTTACTGACAGGTTATTCTCTTAGTATTGAGCACTGTTGTCACTTTATTATGTTTTGTCCTGTGCTGTCGATTGTGTGTAAAAGGAGGCCGATTCACTCACTGTAAAACCAAATTGACCCACGGGTGCAAATGAGGTCATCTTACCTGACATTACCTTACCTTACTGGATGTCTTTGTAGGTTGGATTCAACCCTTTGAGAGTGTTGAGGAAGAGAAACAAAGCACTAAGGGAGATCCGGAAACTTCTAAAGAAAGGAGACCTGCAGTGGACGCCGGTGAGTCACGACTTTCTTTGACCTCATTAAGCCAATAACAACAAACAAGCTTTCTCTGGCAGCACGTTCAGCGAGACATCCAAGTCTCGGTTAGACATTGTGGGTGAATCATTTGCCGTCTTAATCGTTTAAAGTACAGTTAAGTAGCACAGCTAAACAGAAGTACCTGACACATTAACACAACATGGAGTGCTGAAAACATCCTTCTCAGGCTGGCTACACAAGAGACGATTTTCAAATCCTAACTGATTCTAAAAAACATGAAAGACTGGAGACATGGGGACGGTTTCAACTGACTTTTAACATAATCCTCCGAACTCACACACTAGACAATTCGGCCAGACCACACACCTGGCCGCTTGTAATAAAGATTTCAAAGTGTCAATTCCACAAATCTCACAAAAACTTGCATGTGAGTTGAGAAGAAAAAAAAAATATGGAGGACGATTGACGTCGTCAGCTGCTTGAGACATTATAATGGCACTCATGTCGTTGCCATAACTCCACATGCTACTCTTCTTCTTCAATATTCTCCTCAGCTCGAGGCTCAGTTGTGTTTATGTTCTCTGCCTTGTTTGTGAGCTGTTAAAGTACCCAACATCTGGTTTGTGACACCTCCCGGTCTGCCCGCTCTCATTGGCTATCGCAGGTATTCCGTTGAGGCGGCCTGACCTTGAATCATAAATATCCAACATGTTTGATGTTTACGATTAGAGATTAGTGAGGCTCCGACTTGATCAGAAGCAGTAAAATATTCCAATTGACAGCACACACTTTTGAGGGTTATTTGGACTAATAATCGGTTGCGACAAGCCTTGAATCGGAGCCACACCCTTTCCCCCCCTGATCATTGGGTCTGGGGGAAAATCGAGCAAATTTGGGCAAAACCACAGGGCCATGTCCAGAGGGATTTTCAAGGGTGACATGGCCCCCACTGTAACATGATTGGCTACCCCTGTTGTTAGCCCAAAATGTTAAACTAGGATTGTGATGCGGTTTAGCTAGTTGCTCCGAAAACTCATGACGAGAATCCAGATCAGGCAGACAAAAAAGCCTCCCTCAAACTACCAGAAATGCAGTTTGGCAAGTTGAAGGAACAAAGATGATAACAGCTCTTTATACCTTTTGTGTGGATAAAAGAAGTTGACATATTGTAAAAAAAAAAAAAAAAAGCTGTTCAGCTGTTTGTAGCTTAAACTTTTATCGCTTTTTGCCCAAATTTCAGAATTTTTAGTGTGTACGGCAGATTTGTGTTGAACCAAAAACCAGTGAGGAAATGACTGAAAAGTGTATCTCCCATCACAGAAAGGCTTCTTGAACACGTCATCTGGACCCTTCCAGAAGTCAGAGGACGAGAGTAACGCGGAGGAGCTCGACCTGCCCACAGACTTTAAAGACCTTCCTTCGCGGATCGACTGGAACGCCGAGCTCCCCGCAAACATCATCGTCCCCAGAGTGGACCTCCACAGCCTCATCCTGGACTTCTCTGCTGTCTCTTTCCTGGACATCTCTGCTCTGAAGGGACTCAAAACGGTCGGTTGTTTATTCACTGCAGCACGTGGAGCGGTTATAGTGCTGAAGCCGTCTCTCTAATAAACTTTGACTGTGTTGTAGGCGCTGAAAGAGCTGATACGGGTCGAAGTCGAGGTCTACATTGTCGCTTGTGATAGTAAGTAAAAATTATTTAAAGGAACAATATGTAACTCTGACACCTAGCATTCAAAATGGGTACTGCAGTCCAAATTCAAAACATTGAAGAGAGCTGTCTCCCCCCCCCGCCCCCTCCTCCCTAGAGTCCATGCGCCACCACAGTGTCCACAGTGGACACTGAAGCTTCAGTGTTTAGTCAACTATGCATCAGTTTGTGAACCTTTCTACATTCTAAACTAAACTAACCTATTTCTATTTTCATGTGAGTCATGTGAATTAGTAGTTGCAAAATATGTTATACTTCTTAAAATACTTGAGTGCTTTATTTTGCCCTTAGTTTTGCGACTTGTGCAGCAACTTCAACTAACTGTTGCCCTTTAAGCAGTTTTCACATTTGCACTCCTGAAAATATCAAAAAAATTTGAGGAGGACTGGGGGGGGGGGTCCTGAGGTAAGACGTGATGCTAAAAAAACGTGATGGGCGAAGCAACAGAGTCGGCTATACGGTGCTACAATGAGAATATTTGTCTTTATATCAATGCTCCGTGTAGTTCAACGGAATCACACTATCAACAAAAGAGCAGAGAAGAACATACTGGAGAACAGAAAACATCATGCAGCAGGTTCATTACATGCACGGTCACATAAATACACTCTATGCACTGTGCAGCAGTCACAGTATATAAACATCACCACCCTCTCCTATTGGAATTCTCCAGGGAATATTCTGCTGCGTTCTGAGATCAGCTCACTCAGACTTGTTGCATAAAAAATACTAAGGGACTAGCAGGAGAAACTCCGGGTGAAGTCTGAAGCTGTTTGAGTTGACACATAAAGCTCCTGCGGCAAATATCAGGAGTTTTTCTGCAAGAGTAAAATAACTATAACTATACATAATGTTATTTTACTGCTGTTTGCTGGTCTATTACTTACCATAGTGTTGTCAGATCTGCAAACGCAATGAGTAAAAGAACTTGGACTTGTTTTTTCTCCTCACTTTCAGCTTACATCCTGGAAAAACTGCACAGCTGTTGCTTCTTTGATGATGAAGTTCAGCCGTCGATGTTCTTCCTGACGCTTCACGACGCCATGTTACACATCCTGGAGAAACATCCAGAGTCCACAGAAAAGAAATCGGACTATGACAGGGTAAATAAGGCAACACTTACAATGTGAATGTATGGAAATATATCAACTGTGTGCACAAGGCTTTTAACTGACTTATGAATATCCTCAAAATGACGATCTCCTTGTGTTCTTTTTTTTTTACAGATCATAACAACAGTCACAGTCCACCACCCTGGAGGCGCTTTAAGGAGCAGAGATAAAAATGTAAGAGTCTGTTTTTATTTTCAAGAAGCAGCAACACTTTCCATCTCCTCTACTGTAGCCATGTCCTGAACTTCATGCTATTAATGTCAGGACAAAGCCCTTTGATCCACACACAAAAGAAACAACGTGCTCCAGAGTTTCCGTAGAAATGTAATGACTCAGAGGGGAGCTGGGCTCTGTTATTTGAGGGTCTAAATAAACTTTTAGGTCCAGAACGTTTTAGATTCACTCCAACATGCAGCTGCGACAAGATCTGTAACGGCCCCTCGTGTACAGAGGCTGTAGTCCACCAAGTGGGTTAGAATCTGACCTGTGGCTTCTTTCTTGCATGTCATTTCCCACTCTCTCTCTCTCTCTCTCTCTCTCTCTCTCTCTCTCTCTCTCTCTCCGACTTCTAGCTCTATCAACTCTAAATAAGGGCAAACAAAGCGTAAAAATAAACCTTTACAAAGACAAATGAAATACAAATTATAAATTGTATAAATGCATGTCTGCTGAGAGCTTCTAACACGATCTACTGGAGCATATCTGTACGTTTTTGCACTTCAAAATGTGTAAAAACAGGACTCATCTTTAAACATATGATGATATATGATTTTATAAAGTCTCTTTTGATGAATTAATTTTGTAAAAGCTTATTAAAGAAAGAATGTGCGACTTTTTCATCCAGTAGATGTTGCCCTTGAGCACCAGCATGAAACCAAAACAAACTGCTCCGCCATACTGTAGCCTCCGCTCTCCTCCAACGTCACACCTACAACTCCTCTCCAATCATGTTCACACCAAGGAGTTATGACTAAGAACGCACCATAATTAAGCACCATTTAGCATAAGCGGCGGTATAATTTTTCCTTTGCTAGAGCTGCAATCGCCTGTGTCCTGCATTGTTGTGTTAGCATGCTAATGTTAACGCTCTTTGGTTAGCTCGTAGCTTCACATTGCATATAAACTGACACAGAATGACCGTGATCTAAAAACACATAATCAGTCCAAATAATCAGTGAGTATGTTCTTCTTCTTTTCTCTTCTCCTTGACTCAAACAGCTTTTATACACAAGGCCGTCCTCTAATTGTAAACACAGCTCTGACAACAACACAGCCAGCAGGACTCAAGCTTCTCACTCATCGTAGACAGTCATGACTCAGAGACACATTTACTCAGGATAGACTGGATTTCTGTTGTATTTTTGTGTAAAATGTTTCACATTCTTCCTTTAAAGCTGCTCCATTAGCGACCACAATGCTTTAAACACAACTTCTTCTTCTTCACCCACAGGCTCTGGATCCAGAAACCAGGTTCTGATGTCAGTTTTAGACGATTTAGAGGAAGATTTATCTGAAAGTAAAAAAAAAGACCAAAGATTAAGGAGTAAAAGGTTTACTGACCATGCTGTAAAAACACTGATATAATGAACGACACTGTTTTTGACTTTTCACATATTATGACTGATCTGAGTTTACGTTTATTGTTTTAACTGAAATGTAAGTAGACACGTCGTGTTTTTTATACTGTACATGTTCCAAGAGTTTGTAGACATTTTAGGTGTAATGTATTTCACATTTTGTATTCTTATATTTTCATTACAATGAGAAGAAATGCACTTTTTTTGCCACTCTCTTTGGGACAAAAGCAATGTTGAAAAAAGACTGAATGTGCAGTTGCTGAAATATGATAATAAATATTTTATCTCTCGTAACAATGACGGTCAATGCTTCTGTGTTGTTTTGTTTTTAATATTGTAGCGCAGAGACTGTACAAACTTAAACTTTAGAGCAGTGGTTCTCAACTGGTGGCTCGGGACCTGGAGGTGGGTAGCAGAGCCATTTTCAGTGGGTCCTTAATGTGTGCCCGGAAAAATGTTTATGTGTCTTGTGTTTAGCTTCTGCTACATGTTTTGTACTGACTGAGGTCCTAACTGCATCCTTTTTAAGTCGGTACAAAACAGATTTGTCGAAAAATATCAGAAATTTGAGTTCTGATTTTTCATGGAGGAGTTGGTGGTGGGTCTTGAGGCCAGATGAGTTGAGAACCACTGATTAAGAGTAAAATAGAGTAAATAAAGTAAGATATGTTTAGGGCATATAGCTAACATGTAACAATCTGTATCCAGCCTGTCTTCCAAATATGGTCACTTTTAGTACCAAGAAAACAAGATGGCTACTGCCAAAATATCAAACTCAATGCTTCAAATGGCCAGTTGACAAACAAAAAGGTGGCGTCACAATGGCTAAGCCCACTTCTTTTATGCAGTCTATGGACTTATTTCGCTGCTGGCAGTCATGTTAAAAAGTGTTTCTTCAACTTTAAACTTTAACATTAATGTACACAAGTGCATCCAGGCGAAAACAAGAAAAAAACACAGGCATATCGATTCAGACAATAGAAACAACATAAAAACATTTAAAAATAAATCAATAAGTACTTTAAGTAACAGGTAATATAAAAACTGTCCATGAAACCATCATTAAAACCAAAATAAACCCCATCATCATTGATGGCCTGAGTTATAAAATAATCTTTCAAGCAGCTGAACTTCAACATGGTTGGTAATTCTTCAGATCCACTTATTAAGATTCTGGTTGAAATTGTCTTTAGGTCCTGACAGACATTAATAACTCATGTTCTCTGAAAAAGGAACAAAGAAAATCAGTCATCTGTAGCAGTTTGTAAGTCTGTAAAAACTTTGACCAATGTCTGCCACGAGGTACCAATCTGATGAACCAATCAGACGCCCCCCTGTCTCCCTGCTTGTTCTCACTAGCCCACACTCAAAGCGCGTCACCGATTATGGAGTTTCTTCTGCGAGTTTGTCGTTGGCCGTTGTGAGTACAGAATTAGTCTTTTTTTTTTACATGTATTATGATAAGTTGAGTGTTTATTTACCGCTGAATGAGACGTGAGATGACGTAGTTTCTACACAATGCATGCGATGAGCTGACGTCCGATTCTGCAGGAATGTAAGTATGTAAGTGAGATGTTTGTTTGTAATTTTTTTAATACTTTAAATTGTGACTTTGGATGCACAAAATGTTTTAAATCTTTAGAGAATAGAGCTTAGAAGACGTGTTTGTTGTTATTATCTTGTGTTACTTAAAAGTCGATGTGATTGGTGCAGACAGATGGGGTGAGTAAATGCTCTTCATTTCTGAATGAAAATTCAGGCCACCCCTGCACAGTCATTGTCCCAGTTGGGCCCCCCCAGATCATAAAGTCTGGACACGCCCCTGGAGACAGATCAGGTAATCTAACGACTAATGACCTACGGGCAACTTTTATGATTAGTTGAAGCCAATTCTTGTCTCTTTTTGAGATATTACCGAGTAGTGTAATCGAAATAGCAGTCATTATTTTGATGTAATTCACAGATGTGAGAATGTGTGACTGTGGACTTTGTCATTGTTTGCCAAAAGGTGAATGTTCCCAAGTTCTCAAACCTCTCTCAATAATTCCACCTATACAATATACTTGTATTTAAGAGAATCTTGTAAAATGTCACGAATGACAACTTCCCCTTTCAGCACAGGACATCAGATCATAATTTTACCTCTGCAGTCATTTATTTGTATGTTAACTGCTTCATTTAGTCCCCGTCAAATCAATCAAGCCACACAGTTTGATCCATATCGCACCATACTCTGGTATTTTCTTGCAACAGTTACTTTATTTGTATAGCGCCACACACCAAATGTTATCTCAAGACCCTTTACAAAAGAGCAGGTGAAAGAGCTCTCTCATTGTTATATTACAAAGACCAACTATGAATCCATCATGAGCACTAAGTAACATATTGAAAAAACGTCCTTTAAGAGACAGAAACCTCGAGCAGAACTAGACTCATGATGAACAGCTGTCTGCTGAAACTGTGTCAGTTACTTCTGTTATTTCTCATGTTGCATGTCTTGTGTTTCCTCTTTGCTTTGATACTTAGCCATGTGTCTCGTTTCAGACCATTTGCTTCCTGCCCTCGTCGCCCGTGTCTCCTGCGTCTGTGATCACCTGTTGTGTCTCACCCTTGAGTATTTAGTCTCCGTGTTCCCCTCCTTCTGTGCCAGTTTGTCTTGTTCCTTTGTTTAGTTTAGTTTAGTTTAATCGTTTATTTGAATCAGGGACATTTTTTTTGGACAGTGTACAAAAAATACATTAGTCTCAGAAGAGATGCTTTGTACCAGATTTAGGTAGCTAGCTTATTTCCATCTGTTGTCCCTGTGCGGATGATGGCAACAGCAAAATACAAATCAACCAGTCCCCCCCCCCCCCACACACACACACACACACACACACACACACACACACACACACTACACTACACACTTGTGACTATGTTCCAGCCTTTAGCAAATTTCCTATTTTGACCTGTTTCCGTTTCATTGACCAGTCTTTTTGCCTACGTATGGTTTTGGATAACTCAGCTTGTGTTTTGGATTCCTGTGTACCGACCCTTTTCTGATTAAACAGACCTTTAACCTTTAAGTATTCTTAGAGTCGTGTATTTGGGTTCTGTGTTTTATGGTTTAGTGTGACAAGTAGAGGGAGATGCAGAAAGAAGGAGAGGGACAGAAATAAACCAAGCACAACAATGATAACGATATACTATAATGTGAGTAATAATGGTAAAAGTATGTGTAGTATTAGCAGTTACAGCTAAGTATGATAATAGACTGATCAGTTTAATATTCACGTTATCAGATGTAATGATGGTGACACAGAGAGGACTGCTTATGTTCATTATAGAGGTTGAAGTTGAGCAGCTCTAAGATTCATTTTTTCACTTTTCATATGAACGATGATATATGTAAGGCTGATATTAAAAGTTGAAGCAGTTAGTTCATGGAGGGGTCCACAGCAGCAGGACGTCCACACCAATGATCCAGAAGAACCTACGAGAAACGGGAGCTCAGAAACTCCCAGGAACATATGTGGTTAGTAACTTTAATGGTACGTGAAGATTAACAGATAGTGACATGCAGTAATGACATGAATGCATAAAGGTATGTTGTGGCCAAATGGCCATATGAATTATTTACAGTTAAAAAATAGAAAAGAGCCAAACATTAATGAATTTAGAATTATTTGTTTATATTATTGTTTATTCTGGCTTATTTTGGTTTTACCTTTTGTTAATTGATTTGGGGGTATTTGTGCGTTATTTCTCCCTCTTTGGGGGGGAGCTGCGGCGTATCTGCAGTGTAATTTAAGTTGATTAAGGACACCTGGTGTGAGAGTGAGAGTGGGGAAGCTGCAAAGGGCCGCTTAGGATATATGTGATATAGCGATCTGATTTGTTTATTTTATTTTGTGAAGTTTAGTTTTTGCTGAAAAGTTTTCTATTAATAAATGTAGCTTATAAGTTGAATTTAGATCCGCAGCTGCCTTTTGTTTTTATTTGATAGCGTGTTAAACCCGCTCAGCAATGGCTTACCTAATTGATTTTGTTTGAAGCCATCACAGGGGGAGAGAGAGAGGAAGTCTTCCTCTGCAGCTGTGTTTACAACTGACCAAGTTTTTTTTTTTTTAAGATTTTTGGACTTTTTTTGTCTTTATTGGAGAGACAGGAGAGAGAGAGAGAGAGAGAGTGGGGAATGACATGCAGTAAAAGGAGCCACAGGTGGGACTTAAACCCGGGCTTCACGGCTGGAGGACTACAGCGCACCAACCACTGCCCCACCAGCGCCCCACAGCAACTGACCAAGTTCATGTTCTGTAGTGATCACGAGAATGCTTCAAAAATCTGATGCAAAGCAAAGAATCACAACAACAAGGCTACTACACATTAACCATATTGCACAATATCTGCAGAAAAGTAGAGAAAAGATAAGAAAATATAAGAACACCATGAGACCATTGCACAGCCGCCTTACAGTCTCAACAGCCAAAAGAAACATTCAGACTTTTAATGGACATGGGTACAAAAATACTTGAAAAATATCGAGGAAAATAGTTGACTTGTGTACATGTTTAAAAGAAAAGTTGTCAAAGACATCAGAAGCTGTGGTTCCCAGTAGATTGTTCCTTCTCAAATTTAACCGTTCACTGAAGCTTGGGAATTCCTCAAATCAATAGTCTCAGAGTGCCAGAAAATAAAATGTCATATGATCATGATGAATCATAAACCTGTTGGTGGATGATTAACAGAGTAAAGACAAAACGGACGCAGTGACGAGATTCATATCAGATCACAGGTAAAAACAGACTCGTACTGCACATGAACACATCGGGCAGGAATCTATCATCTTCAGCTCAGAACCTTTAAATCACACTGGGATTAAATTCAGCAGATACCTGAGGTGAGAGGATGGCGACTTTGAGGAAACAATACGCTGTGGACCGACCTCTTTACTCTGAGGACACCTTTGCTGAAGATCACAACAAAGTCGTCAGACAGCGTAAAACTCCCCTGGACCATATGAAAGAGTATCTGACGTAGGTGAAGCCACACGATTTGATCTGAAATCATAACTTGTCCTCATCATTTTGATCCCTGCATAATAACTGTCAGGTTCTGTCAATTTTTTTTTCTGCTTCTGTTAAATCCAGTTGTGATTCAAAACGTGTCAAGAATGTGGGTCTCTCTCTTCTGCCCATCATTGGCTGGATGAGGATCTACAGAGTTAGAGAGTGGCTGCTGGGAGATGTGGTCTCTGGGATTAGCACTGGAATGGTGGCCATCATGCAAGGTGAGTCCTTTTAATGTTGGTGCATTTAAGCAACTGAAACCAACTTAAGAGAGAAGAGTTGAATAACGTGTAATTAGATATTTGCACGTTTTTTAATTGGGATCTGTATTGATTTTATTGGTTGATATTTCTTCCTGTTTTACGCCATGATTGGTGGAACTTGGAGCACTTTTATCATAAAGTAACCTGAACCTGAATGATTACTAGATTGTTCAATAAGAAAAGCATGTATCATCCAGCCCTCTGCCCTGTTCAAATGTGTCATCACAAAGTTTGCAATGTCCAGATTTTTAAAGGTAGCAGCTTGTAAACACATTCAAACTGGGCCCCTCCTATATTCTGCACGTTATTTCAATGTATAAACGCTCACTGAGTGGTTCCAATGGAAAAATGCTTACTACGTCGTTCCATAGGAAGTGCAGCTATCACCAAGGCCTCCACCCTAACTTAAACTGAACTGCATGATAATTACAAGATTTGTAGATTATTGTCTGAGAATGTAAACAGTTGACTTATAGCTTGTAAAACGATGTCACTGATTCTTAGACAGCTTACTCACAGAGTTAGCTTCTCTCTGATCTTTGCTAGTTTGTCTTTTATGTACTACCATTTGTCACAGGCAAATATCTGGTCATTTCTAAATGAATTGTCCAGTTAGAGATATTTTTAATGAAAAAGAATATCATGAATATAGTCTTGTTTTTCATTGTCTACCTCAGGATTGGCCTTCTCTCTACTGGCCTCGCTTCCTCCGAGCTATGGCCTCTACACAGCTTTCTTCCCTGTGCTAACATACTTCTTCCTGGGTACTTCAAGACACATATCTGTAGGTATGTAATGTAAACCTTTGTCACTTACCTTTTATCAACACGATGAGATAAGATTGTATGTGTATGGCTTATCTTTGTCTTTCCACTTTTTATCAGGATCCTTCCCAGTCCTGAGCCTGATGGTAGGAGATGTTGTGACCCGCCTCGTCCCAGAGGATGGACCAGCGGCCAACATCACTGGCTTCTACAATTTGACCATGGACCAGCAGAGAGTCATTGTGGCCTCCTCTGTCACCTTTCTCATGGGGATTTTCCAGGTAAATTAAAATGTTTCACCATACCACACCACACCACACCACACCACACCACACCACACCATACTATACCACACCACACCACACCACACTATACCACACCACACTATACCACACCACACCACACTACACCACACCACACCACACCACACCACACCACACCACACCATACTATACCACACCACACCACACCACACCACACCACACCACACCACACCACACTATACCACACCACACCACACCACACTATACCACACCACACTATACCACACCACACCACACCACACCACACTATACCACACCACACCACACCACACCACACCATACTATACCACACCACACCACACACACACCACACCACACCACACCATACTATACCACACCACACCACACTATACCACACCACACCACACCACACTATACCACACCACACCACACTATACCACACCACACTATACCACACCACACTATACCACACCACACCACACTATACCACACCACACCACACCACACTATACCACACCACACCACACCACACTATACCACACCACACTATACCACACCACACCATACTATACCACACCACACCACACCACACTATACCACACCACACTATACCACACCACACCACACCACACTACACCACACTATACCACACCACACCACACTACACCACACTATACCACACCACACCACACTATACCACACCACACTACACCACACCACACCACACTATACCACACCACACTATACCACACCACACCACACTATACCACACCACACTATACCACACCACACCACACTACACCACACTATACCACACCACACCACACTATACCACACCACACCACACCACACTACACCACACCACACCACACCACACCACACCACACTATACCACACCACACTATACCACACCACACCACACTATACCACACCACACCACACTACACCACACCACACCACACTATACCACACCACACCATACTATACACACCACACCACACCACACCACACCACACCACACCACACCACACCACACCATACTATACCACACCACACCACACCACACTACACCACACTATACCATGCCACACCTCACCACATCACACTATACCATAACATACTGTAATATACCACACCACACCACACCACACCACACCACACCACACCATACTATACCATGCCTCACCACACCACACTATACCACACCACACCACACTATACCACACCACACCACACTATACCACACCACACCATACTATACCACACCACACCACACTATACCACACCACACCACACTATACCACACCACACCACACTGTACCACACCACACCACACCACACTATACCACACCACACCATACTATACCACACCACACCACACTATACCACACCACACCACACCACACCACACTATACCACCACACATATACCACCACACACACCACTATACCACCCACACCACACTATACCACACCACACCACACTATACCACACCATACCACACCACACTATACCACACCACACCATACTATACCACACCACACCACGCCATACCACACCATACTATAACACACCACACCATACTATACCACACCACACCACACCATACTATACCACACCACACCACACCATACTATACCACACCACACCACACTATACCACACCACACCACACTATACCACACCACACCACACCACACTATACCACACCACACCACACCACACTATACCACACCATACCACACCACACCACACCACACCATACCATACCACACCACACCACACCACACCACACCATACCACACCACACCACACCACACCACACCATACTATACCACACCACACCACACTATACCACACCACACCACACTATACCACACCATACCACACCACACTATACCACACCACACCATACTATACCACACCACACCACACCATACTATACCACACCACACCATACCACACCATACTATACCACACCACACCACACCACACCATACCACACCATACTATACCACACAACACCACACTATACCACACCACACCACACCACACCACACCATACTATACCACACAACACCACACCACACCATGCTATACCACACCACACCTCACCATACCATACCACACCATACTACACCACACCACACCACACCACACCACACCACACCATACCATACCATACCATACCATACCATATCCGTATCCATATTCATATCATACTGTACTACACCACACTGCAACAAACCATACAAAACCATTATTTCTGTCCCATGCAGCTTGCCATGGGTCTTCTTCAGGTGGGCTTTATTGTTGTGTACCTGTCCGACACTCTGGTCTCTGGCTTCACCACAGCAGCTGCCGTCCACATCCTGGTGTCCCAGCTCAAGTTTGTGTTGGGTCTACATGTTCCCGGCATCAGTGGTCCACTCGCCCTCATTTATGTAAGTCAAGGATTTTTCTTTTATACTGCCATTGTCTATCGCTAGAGTGACATTTTGGGACTTATATTTATTCATCTAATTGTAAAGAGGAAAGTAAGAAGATTAAAACACTCTCAACTCTCAGTAAGATGCTTCTGTCTGCTATTAGTTAACGTAGCTCAGAGGCTGAAAACTGAGGGATGCTGTCAGTAAAAAAATAACTTTGTACCTCTAAATCCCCAATTAGAACAGATGTATCCAAGCAGCAGCCTCCAGGGTGAAAAAAATGAAGCTAATGCAGATGTTCAAAAATTGCAGTACCTCTAGTGTCAACTGGTGGCAGGCTCCAAAAGCTTGGAAGTCCGGGGGTGATTTCCTTTTAACAACTCCTCTGTTTTGATTTTATGAAGGATACGTTTCATCCATAACTAGGGGAGTGGCTGATCTGACTGCACATTGTAGCTTTGTGCCAGGAGTCTTAAGACCCATCACAGCTCCACCTCTTTGCTTGTTACTAGGTTGAGACAGCATTTGTTACAAACATTACATTTCTGAGCAGCTAATAGTTTCTCTCTTTGGAAAAAGTTGGCAACATTAGGTCTAACGCAACTTTAGTATATAAGCTAGTAAGCACACCAACAAACATAAGCCTTACTGAAAGTGTTTTTTGAACAGTTTTATTATATTTTATGGCCATTTTATGATTTTTTATATCATGTTCATGTGAGTTGCCTTGGAGTTTTCTCTTTCAGAACTGTGACTGAATAATACTCGTCACATTGAATCAGATCAAAGAGCTGATTAAATCACATATAACATTTGTTTCCCCTGCGCAGACGCTGGAGGAGATCTTTGTCCAGATCACCTCCACCAACATCTGTGACCTGGTGATGTCCATTGTGATCATGGTGGTGGTGTTCATTGTGAAGGAGCTGAACGACAGATACAAAGCCAAGCTGCCTGTTCCAATTCCCATAGAGGTTATCGTGGTGAGAGAAACCTTAGAAATGCATCATATTTAGCCTACTCTTAGTGTACTTTACATATCTACTCTTTTACAGAGATGAACACAGCTATGGGTTTTATTTTGCTTTGTCCAAAGTTAACCCAATCAGTGTGTTGTAGCACAGTTGTGAAACCCCTCAATAATTTGTGCGTTCAAGGAAGATCTGATACCTTTTTTAAATATGAGACACATTGCATTTGACTGATTGGACAAGGTTAGATCAACAAGATGATTAAAGCATCCAACCTCAAGCAGATCCTCAAAGTCGGTTTTTGAACAGTAATGAATGAAAACACTTCCATACAATTTATCAACACCTACAAACCTGAACTGTCTCCTCTTTTTCACACAGACGATCATTGCTTGTGGCGTGTCCTATGGCTTCAACTTCGAGAAGACATTTGATGTCGCAATTGTTGGCAAAATGGTCAGCGGGTAAGTTTGGAGTTTGTTTACGTTATTTAGCGGTTATAGGTAAAGATCAATTCTACAATATTACAATTCACTTAGCAGACGCTTTTATCCAAAGCGACGTACATCAGAGAGTAAGAACAACACAAGCAAGGATCTAATTCTAGAAAAAAGGGAACAATGTCAGTAAGAGCAAACGATCAGCTTTGAGTCTGATTGGACACACAGGTGCTGACAGGAAGTGACCAGAGGCAAAGCACAACATTGAGGGCAGTTCTTGAGAGCTCTAATCAGTATAGAAACCATCTTATAAGTCATCGTTATCAAACAAAAACCATCGTCATTACCATCATCATCATCAATAATATGGAGACCATCATCATTAAGTTAGTAGGTATTCATGAAAGAGCTGGGTCTTTAGCTTTTAACTTTAGATCAAGCTCACTTTTGTTTTCTCATGGAGGACCATATATGGCTTTTAGGGCGTTTAAACACCTAACCTGTTTGGTTCAGTTAAAAGAAACTTGAGTCTGTTGACCAAGTTGTCAATCGAATCCTGGTGCGGACCAAACAGCTGTACAGAAACCGCTTGAAGGATTGGGTCTAGGTTTTTCTGACTCTTGTGGTCCTGGACTCGACCCTACTGCAGGAAGCAACTGCTGTGGGCCTTCTCTATTCATCATTGCTGAACATGTAAAGACCACAAGCCGACCTGATGGATCTTTAGAAACAATTTTGAGCAGTTTGTGGTTCACAATGATTAACGATTAACGCCTTCTCCAGAACTCTCTTCATAAGCCGCTTTGGAGATTCCAGTACATCAACTTATCTTGAGCTGTCCTCGCTCATCCATACATTTTGGTCCTCTTGTAAATGATTTGAGTCTGGTCCGCGGTCAACAGTTTTTCATGAAAATTTCCGTCAGGTCCACGCTCATCGTTTTTTCATGTCAGATGGGAGCTGGCTAGACTTTTTTAATTTAGGAGCCAGCTTGTAGTGTTGATTAATTGTAATTAATTTTCTATCTATAAAAGCTGAACATACAGTACGTGCAGCCCTGGTTTGCTTTTCAGTAGCATTAAATGAGTTTATTTGTGGGGTTAATAAACTTTGAGTTGGTAATTTATTTCAGAGTTGACAGGCCTTTAAACGCTTGTCTTACGTCTTTATGTACCGTCTTCATATGAAAACTTAAAAACAATTAGTGGAGTAGAAAGTAAATGAAAGTGGAAATACTCATACTGAAAATGTTTAAAGGTGGGGTGTGCTCTCTCAGGTATGAGTCTCCCATAGCGCCCAACATAGAAGTCTTCAAGGAGAGCGCTGTGGAGGCTTTTCCTGCAGCCATCGTGGGGTTTGCTGTTGCCTTTTCTGTGGCCAAAGTGTACTCCATTAAACATGATTACACCATTGATGGGAACCAGGTGAGTTGTATACTCTATAATGACCTTGTCTACCCCCGCCTGGCTCTGAAAGAGGGAACATAGTTAATTTGTTACTGAAACTAAACGAGTGTGGGAGTAACAATCATCATAACTTTAGTTCAGAAGATATAAAGTTTAATATCTTATTGCTTTTATTTCAAGGTTGCATGTGAAGGTTTTATGTGCATGAAGAAAAGCAGAATCATTCAAAAACAAAAGTAGCCTTTGGGTTGCAAGGGGAGGTAACATAACTTTCATTGTTGCATTGCAGGAGCTCATTGCATTCGGGGTTAGCAACATATTTGGTGCGAGCTTCAGGTCGTTTGCTGCCAGCACTGCCCTCTCCAGGACGGCGGTGCAGGAGAGCTCCGGAGGGAGAACACAGGTCGGTGAATCTAAAATGTGAAATTTTGCTTTGCAATCTGTTTGATGTCACATGCTGTTCCTACTTTAGCTCGTTGAAATGAAACATTAACCTTTTTTTTTGTAACAAATTCAGGTTGCAGGGCTGATCTCAGCCTTGATGGCGATGATTGTAACTCTGGCGCTTGGCTTCCTGCTGGAGCCGCTCCCCAGGGTGAGACTCTATGTATTACTGTATGAATTTAATATTTTCCATTATGTTCATCATACAAAGCCTAGTGTGAAAGTACATCTTTATATTTAAAAAGTGTGCTTTTTTTTTGCACATACCAATTATTTTCTGATTTCCCCTCAGGCTGTCCTTGGAGCCCTGGTCATCGTGAACCTGAAGGGCATGCTGATGCAGTTCAGAGAGATCCTATACCTGTGGAGGAGGGACAAAATTGAATGTGTAGGTGTTTAAAAATCTTTAGTGTTCACTGCAGATTAAGGCCTAGTCCACACATAGGCGGCTATTTTTTAAAACCGAGGTTTTCCTCCTCTGTTTCTCAAAAGCGTCTTCGTCCACATGAAAACGCAAAACGCATTGTTGCTGCTTACATGAGCACCACAAGTCAAAAATGATGTCCATGACATGCCAACATTTTCTCGCCATTCATCTGCAATGACCATTTCATTTTACAAAGTTGTCAATTCAGACGCCTCTGCTCTTCAACATAGTGTGAGCACTAGTTTGGTTACGTCTGCCATCGCGCTGATCTCATGTAAACAAAAGTGACAGCCTCGCACAATGACGTCCAACGGAGGAGAAACCAGCGCACAGTGTGACATTATAAGCCCAATACTACATTTTCCCCGGCGTCTAATCTGCACCCTGGAAGGAGCTTTCCAAAAGAAGCGTTTTAAGTGACCTATGAGCAGTTTGCATGTGTACAAAAGGCTGAAGATGACTTGATATGATGACTTGTTTAAGCTCAGCTGTTTGTCTGCAGGTGGTGTGGGTGGTAACTTGTTTGGCTGCCATCCTTCTGGGACTGGATCTCGGCCTGGCGGTAGGCTTAGGGATCGAGCTGCTCACTGTCGTCTTCAGGACTCAATTGTAAGAACACACCTCACAACAGTGGTTGTATCATGTAATTACTTTAGAGCTAAGTATTCAAGTATTGTTTATTATGCAACATGCAGCCAGAAAAAAAAACTGGGAAGGCTTTTAAACTGTGGCCACATTTTCACAAAACATTTACACATCCAATTCCTAAGACAGGTGCATCGGAGAGCAATGTATCCATCGAAAACTTAAAGGCAAACCTTTTTACCTGATGGAGGACTAATACAGAAATGATGCCAATAAATGTTTGTAAGTTTAGACAATGTGCGGGAGTTTAACTTTGAGTATAACTTTTTATTGGAATATTTCCTGCATAGCAAAAAGAAATTGAAGTTCATCCAAAAACATGAGAAGTGTTTATGGGTGTATGTATTTTTGCCCAACAATCTAGTGTGATCCTAAAAATTGAATTTACAAAATATGCAATAGTTTTATAACTTAGTGCAAGATATGTTTGAGAATATTAGGGAGATTATACCAAAATGCAATATATGAAAAATACATAAAAAACTTAAGTTGCCATAACTCATGCTAATTAAATACAATGAACATATAAAATGCTTTAAATTTACACAATATAGTTATGTGGGTTCAACATAGAGTGAAAATATATACTTAACATTAAAGAAACATTATAAATAAAAATGAAAAAGTCATGTTTTTAAAACAAAAAATAATTAAGTATATTGAACGCATATAAATCATTTTGAGTCATCACAATTTTAATATCTACAACGGATGTACAGATTTTTTTAATGTAATACAAACAGTCTTTTTTTTAGTGTAGCACAGCCTGAGAGACGAAGCCCAGGGAACATCAGACAACCTGCCTTAGAGTTCTGCTTTAGTCGTAAAAACAAGCTTTAAATTGGATGTTTATAGTGCTGAATCCTCAAGTCTAAGACCCAAATAAATTCATTAAGTTTTAAAAGGTTATGCTTCACTATCACAGCCTCCTCCCTCTGACCTACGCACAATGTTCATGTCTTTGTAGCCCCCGCTGTTCTGTCCTGGCCAACATCTCAGGGACTGACCTCTATAGAGATCGCAAAGATTACACACAAGTAAGTACGCACCCAACGCTAAATGTTTCTTTTTGAGCTTGTGGAGGTGTTTGTTTTAAAGGAGCAGTATGTAACTCTGACACCTAGTGTTTAAAATGGGTACTGCAGTCCAAATTCAAAACATTGCAGAGAGCTGTCTCTCCCCGCCCCCTCCTCTCTAGAGTCGATGCTAACGTGAGTTGCCATGTGGTGGACACTGAAGCTTCAGTGTTTATTCAGCTCTGCATCGGTCTGTAAACCTTTCTGTGTTCTAACCTCTCTCCATTTTTCAAAAGCATCTCCAATATTAATCCTAGTTTGAGCACGTTTCTGCTCGTGGAGCTTGTTAGAAACATGCAGAGGCTTTTTAGGTCGGGTACAGTCACTTCTATCTGAACCACTTCTCTTGCCCGCTTCCATTGCTGCAACACCTGTTGACCTGATAACTGCTCTCATATCTGGTAAACTGAGGGGCGTACAAAACGGCCGTGTAGGGGGGCCTTAAAACCGCCTACCTTCTCTGGTCCAAACAAATTCAGAGCATTCAGGTACAGAATCTAAAGTTAGAAGGAGGACATACTGGCTGCTGCATTGTTGTCAGAGAAGCCAGCACTTCAACATAGCATGTTTCCTTAATGTCTGATCAGATAGTGAGGTCACTTTATCATTTCATTCAGTAGATATCTCACATATTGCTCCTTTAACATTATACTTCTCTTTTTAGATATTCGAACCACAGGGAGTGAAAATCTTCAGGATACCTTCGCCTATCTTCTTCGCCAACATTGACTTCTTCAAAGACAAACTGATAGAAGCTGTATGTATGATGAGACGTATCTGAACTACTGTATGCTTCAGTTTCCCTTTTATTAGTTAAATAAATGAGTCCGAACATGATGCCATTACTTGCATGTTGCAGGTTGGGTTTAAACCTTTGAAAGTTTTACGGAAAAGAAACAAGGCTCTCAGGAAAATCAAGGCCCTGCAGCAGAAAGGGGATGTAAACCTTACAGAGGTGAGACTGGGAGTTTAAGTTTAAAAACTGTACCAGTGTGAGCTTCAAAGTGTTCTTCCTAGACCTGTACGCCTCCTTTCTTCTGTCGAACAGAAAGGATTGAGGGACTTATTCTCCCAGACGACCGACAAGTCTCATACTAACATGGAGGAGATGGATTTGCCCTCTGACCTCAAAGATCTTCCTTCGAAAATCTGCTGGAACGCAGAGCTGCCTGCAAGCATCAGCGTGCCCAGAGTGGATGTCCACAGTGTGATCCTGGACTTCTCTGCCGTCTCCTTTATGGACATCTCGGCTATGAAGGGACTCAAAGCGGTAAACAATTATTCATGAAGATCAATGCTTTCACTGCAAAAACTCAAATCTTACCAAGTGTATTTGTCTGATTTCATTACACTCATTATAAGCCACATCAACCTGGCCTCATTTTTAGGCTTTTTATATCTTCAATTGGGATTTTTATCTCTACTTTTCTGGTGAATTTCCCCTTAAAGGGGACATATTATGAATAATCCACTTTGACAGTGTTTTTCAACATATATTTGGGTAACCTGAGTGTCTACTGACCCACAACATGTGAAATAAACCCATCCAGTCCTTTGTTTGTGATGTCTACTGGGAAAACTCAGGGGGGGGCTCATTGCATTTAAAGAGACACACACACCCAAACAGAGTGTTCTGAGAGAGCTGGTTTATACAGGGTCACAAACCTCCTCTGGTGCTTGATTCATGTTATATTTTGACCAAAGCACAGCACAGATGTTTCATTTAGACCACAGGGGACTGTTTGAAAAGGTGGAGGAGGAGGATAATATGTCCTCTTTAAAGTATGATAAGATATTTTTCACTAGAAATAAGACAAATAAACTTGTTTAGATTTGAGTTTTTTTGCAGTGAATCCAACCCTTTTTATGTCCACTTCGTATTTGTCTAAACAATGTTTTTTAAATAACGTTCAGGATCAATCATCTGAGCAGCAATTAAAGACCAGTCTGAGAAACTGATTGTGTACTCCTTGATCACATATTTCCAGCTTACTGTCCCCATGAAACGGAATTTCGAGAGTATCTAATGGGATAAAACCAATCACAAGATAGGAGGCGGGACATAACGCTGGGATGAATATGATCGGACTGTAAAAAAAAAAAAAGCGTTTTAATTGGTCGGAAGGCTTTTTAAGAATACTTTTTAATGACGAAAGGTTCCATTTTTATTTCTGAAGCTTTTTTGTTTTTCCTCCACAGGCGCTCAGAGAGTTCATCCATATTGATGTCAATGTTTACGTTGCCTCTTGTGACCGTGAGTTTCACCAGAATTCATTAAATTTGTCATAAGTTAGAACATAAAGAAATGAAAACACTAAATACACTCTCCTTTGTGACCGCAGCGTACATCCTGGAGACACTACACAGCTGTATGTTCTTTGATGACGAGATTCAGACCTCCTTGTTCTTCCCGACCGTTCATGACGCCATGCTGCATGTGCTTGAAAACCACAAGACAGACATCAGAAAAGGCAACGTGGTAAGAACACTAATCATAATACCCCTCTTCCCCATCACCAGGTACCAGATTCAGGTGATGTATCATTAGTTTATTACTTTAAAGCATACTAAGGAGTTTAAGGAGATTTTCTGAGATTTCAAATCACAACAAGTGTTGTAACCACAGCTTCATTTAAATCGTTTCACAAATGAAATCAATACGATATCATATGGTCTTTACCTCCTTTCTAACTTTTGCAGCTCTAACATTCTACATTCATTTTGTATTTCTATTAAACAGGTAAAAGATACACGTCTTTAAACCATCGACAGCCTCCAGGAAGAAACACCCTGAAAATACAAGTCAACAAGACCTCATACATGTGATGTTTGATATTCTGTAAGGTTATAGCCTCGTGTTCTTACCAACAAAACAATATTTTGTACATTTATTCAGAGTTTAAAAAAAGTTTTTTGCATCGTGATTTTTTTAAATAAATGACTGAATCTTTGTTTTTCCTGTTATGCTCTACTGTCGTGTCCTTTTTCCAAACTGTTTTTGATAAATGCAATGTATAAGATGTAATAAAATACAAAACAAAATGTGTTTATTGAGTTGACATAAAGCATCTTAAATACTTTGGTTAGAGCAAGCTCTCACTAAAACTGTCTGCATGTTGATTTAAAAAAATAAATAAAACTAAGCTTTTTTTTTTTAAAGGTAGATGTATTTGATTATACCTATAAACCCCTCTATTTCAGCCCTGCCCAGAACAGACTGTTTGTGTCTGTACCTTTAAATATGTAAATGAGCTGTGTCTGACCACGCCCCCTCTCTAGAAGGGCTTGGGTGGCTCAGGCTTTCTCACTACATGTCCTATTGTTTATGTTGAGAAGGCAGACTCAGAGGGCAGAACAAACACCTAGCTGTGGGAGTGTCACCCACCTGGGGAGGGGCTACTGCCCTTTGTGATGTCATGAAGGGAAAATCTCCAAACAGTCTGTTTGAGCACACATTTTCTGAAAAGTGGAGCAGGTAAAAGATGGGGAGGATGGACTTTTCTCATCATTGGAGGGTTTGTAGAGAGACTAGAGACACATACAGTATAAGTGTTAGAAAACCGCGGTAAAGTGTGTTTTGCATATTAAGTGAACGTTCAATCAGTCATAGTTATTAAGAACCAACACAAATGTGTTTGTTGCCAGGTGTTTGCTCTTACATGTTCTTCCACCAAAGAAAAGTTGAAATGGTAAATGGACTTGAGTGTCTTGACTACTCAAAGCTTTTACACCACAGGTCACAGCAAACACATTCACACCTTGATGTATGATGCTGCTATGTAAAGTATCCATCAGTATTATCTTATCTCATTTATACACATTTACTAGCCAACCTCGAAGCAGCAGTTAAGGGTCTTTCCCAAGGACACATCGACATGTAGCTGCAGGAGATGGGTATCGAACCCCCAAGCCTTCGGTTGAGACGAGTGACTACCACTGACCCATAGCGACCCCTGACAAAATGCAAAGTACAATATGTTGCTTTTAGTGATCTTCAGAACCAACAAACAAGCTCATTTTAAACAAAGATTAGATGAGATGAGATCAGATCTGCTGTTAAAAATTTATTGAGACATAGTTGACGTCTTTCAATGTACAGTACATCTGTGTGTAATCAGCCGACATATATACAGAAATATTTACCATACGCTATTAAAAAAAAGGGACCTTCCTGTACTTCTCAAAGTCTATTGTTTGTTCAGCGGGAAGTTCAGTACACTTAACTAAATGTGCAGCACGGACACATTTACTTTGGGGGCAGTTTTATCCAAATGAAAAAGTCCTACATCCTGGAACCCTGAGGTTTACTATCACATTAATCAGATGCAAACAGACTGCTGCCTGTTCAGTCAGTAGGCAGTTTACTGATAATAAGGCCGATAGCGGCCCTGATCCGGGTGGTGAGGACCAGGCATCTGGCCCTGGGGAGGGGGACCCTGCATACGCGGAGGAGGGGGCCCTCTTGGAGCTGGCCACATCCCAGGACTCAGCCCTCCTGGCTGGCTGAAAGGAGGGCTGAGGGTGCCCTGGTCTTCAGGGAACTGTTGCATGGAGTTTGGATTGTAATGATGAGGAGGGGGGGCATTGACAGGGGGACCACTGTGTTGTGGTGGAGGTCCTGGGGGTGGGTGGTTCAAATAAGGTGGCAACTGGCCCATAATGTGCCCTGGAGGCGGGGTAATTGGTGGCGGAGCTGTGGACATGGGGGGAGGCGGGGCCTGGTTGTATACCATGTGTGGTGTCCCAGAGCCTTGGGGAGGATGCTGCATGGGGTGGTTTATGGGAGGAGGAGGGGGAGGTGGGGGGCCAAAGTGCTGTTGTGGTGGTGCCATCATGTGGTGAGAGTGGGTCACTACAGGTGGCTGGCCAGGATATTCCCCAGGGTGGTGGTGGGGGGGCTGAGCAGGGCCTGGTCCACCAGAGTGCGGCTCCCGTGAGGAGGAGTCATCTTGGATGGGCACGGTGATGAGATTACTGTGTTTACGTGTTGTTAACGTGGCGATGCGGAATGTTTCTGGGCCGAGACCAGAGTTTGGTGGCGGGGCTTCGTGAGCAGAGGGAGGGGGTGGCTGACTGTAGGGGTCATGGCCGCTGTGCTGGAGCGGGTTGGGGAGGTGGACGTGGTTCTTTGGGAGGTGAGGAGGAGGCACACGGAACCGTTCAGGAATCTCAGATGAAGGGGGCAGGTGGACCGGGTCCTGGCGGCTTCCAGACTTGGCTGCCCTCAGGTGGGCGGTGGTTGACATGAGCCTGCAGGTCACGCTGGGACAGGTAGGTGCGTTTACACCCCGGCACAATGCTGCACATGTAGAGGGAGCCGCGCTGGCACTGCTCGATGCGCTGCACGGGGTCTGTGCAGTTATACATGGTGAGTCTGAACACAGGGACAAAAACAACTGTTATTTAACACTCTAAGAATACAGTATATGTCTTAATGAACCAAATGTTTGTCAGACAAGATCAACGCACAGCCATTTCCTTAAAAAAAATCATGTTTTGTTTTTTAGAGTTTAAAAGAGGTGTACTGCAGACCGTTAATGATTGTCAAGAAAACAATGGTGACATCACATCCACATCTCATAAGCCGTTTACTGGCTGGCTGTTTGCGTTCACACATACAGCTCCTCCTGAAAATATCCTGAGTTTTCTGCGAGTGTGAAAGCCCTAATAGACAGCTTAGACTCAAGCTGTTAAACTGTAAGGAAAAAAAAAACATTGAAAAGCTCACCCAGGGCACATCTTATCTCCTTTCTTCTCATGGAGCAAAGCACAGTCGTAGCAGAAAACATGTTTGCAGGGGATCTGAGTGATTAAAAGAAAAGGTTACTAAACATTTAAATTCACCATTGACTGACTGCAAAGGACAGACGGTTCAATTAATCAATTAAATACATACCATCCGTCCATAGAGCTGGATAGGAAGACCGCATTTATCACAGAAGTGAATTGGTACTTCATCCCTTTCTCCAATCAAATTTAGCTATGGGGGGAAAAGATCAACATTACAGGTGACCGCAATGTAAACACACTCAAATACAATTGTCATAGGTTCTTATAAGTCTACTTTAGTGCAGAATCTTTGAAATTGCAACCAATGACAAAACATGGGAGATTTAATTGTTTAAACCAGTCTGTGTGGAGGAGAGTGCTGTACTATTCAATTCAATTACTAACTAAATGAATAAATAAAATAAAGAAAGAAAGAAACAGTGCAAAGAGACAACAAATTATACAAAAGAGCTCAAACAGGACCTCAAAGAGATACCAGTGTTAAACGCACTATATAGAATCAACCGCCAGGGGGCTCGCAATCAAAACAATAACAAAAGATGACGTCGAAGCTGGTGGGGAATCATGGGAGCTCTATACGTCTCGTCTACCGGTGCGACTTGTTTTCTAGACTTTGCGGTATGTGATAAAGTGTGTGTCGTTAATCTTAAAAACACTGTACAGGTTGTTGAGAGGATTCAGACCCAGCCAGTAACATACCTTATAATCCCAAAACATCTGCTGGGGGAATCTCCTCTGAGTTGCAAACACGTCACCAGCTTTAGCTCCACAATCAAAGCGCTCCTCTTGTTTGAAGAAGTTATCTGAAAAACACAAGAGACAAGTATTAACGGAGCAATGCATTAGACCTGACACAGCCATAAAACAATGTTATCAATATATAGCAGTAACTTGAGATGGCCCTAAAGAAGTGACCATGTTCCCTGATTGGATCATTTTCAAGAATCATTGATATTTCCAGATTATCAAAAACTAGAATTATATGGGTAAGATGAAATAAATGTGGCGTTGTAACATTTCTGTAAATAAATATAAAACTCAACTTATTTCTTCAAATTAAATGACACAAAATACCTCACATGTCAAAAATAATTGCTGTGTAATTACTCTACTATACTGACATGAACAAAAACTTTCTTAAGTAAAAAATGGCTGCCTTATCGTCTTCCTTTATTTGAAAAAAAATCCACTTTTAGCGTTCACATTATTCTGTAAGGCTGTGCCCCTTTCCACTGCACACTGAAGTAACTTAAGGTCACCATGGGTAACTCACTGGCACTCTCTGGTGGTGCAAAGGCAAACTGGTAAAAATCACCTACAGGCTTGTTGTGCATCTCATTTTAATACATAGGGCAGTCATATAAAGTCGGAGCCCTTTTTCCAGGTTTTGCAGCAGCCCCTATCTTCACAAGATATCAAAGTGTGCATGTGGAAATTGGTGGACATTCGGCTAAAAGAGTGGACCTGGGGCCAAGCTAGCTCAGTGTGCACTCGAAACCCTCCCAAAGGTTTTCAGGTGGGGGTTCTGCTGCGTTCCATATACCTCGGAACTCGTTAGTCGGATACTGGGAATGACGTCACTACCATGATAACTGCGTTCCAGTTGCAAACTACGTGATAGTCTCTGACTGAAAACAACATGAAACACCTCCACAGAGAGAACTTGCCATCGGTCTGATTGATTTAATTACACAAAAAGACGACTAAGCTGCTAATAAACTCAACAGTTACATCTTTAATATCCCTTTCGATGCATGTAGCAGCCATATTGGATCTGAACTCGGGCTACTTTTTTTCCTCCGAGTTTCCGAGTCATAATTACGACTTCAGGGGGCGTTCCAGTTGACACTTCCGATTGGGAACCGTGAATTTCCCACTTACGAGATCAACTGGAACGCACCATTAGGACCAGGGCCTTATGCAGGCCAGTCCAGTTCCTCCCTCACTTGGTTCAAATATCTCTTTCTGGACTTCACTTTGTACACAGAGGCACAGTCATGACAAGCAAAGAGTGTTCCTCAAACTGCTGAGACAAGCTTGGTAGCTCAATTGGTTTAAATTTCATCAATCTTGTGACATTAAACAAGATCCTTTACTAGAACTGAGGTGCCTTGGCCGAACTCTGAATCCGGACATGAACCTAACCGATTACTTTTATCTGTCAAAGTTCACAGTTGATTCTACAAGTTTTGGTAGTTAAAGTCTTCTGACACTGTAAACCCAGATTTGTTAGTCACCTCATCATTTTCAAGAAAG